ATTTCTTGTGCAGATTTATGTTCATACACATTTGAAAATAGTAAAAATTCATCTACAAAGTTTTCCTCTAAATCGGATGAGTAAAATTTTGCGCTTTTAGTTTGATCTCAGATTCTGACAAATTTTTGTGAACAAGAAAACCGAAATTATCGTACAAATCACTGTAAGCTTTACGCCTTTTAGTCATTTCCGAAATTAATACATCTAAAATGGCGTAATACGTTTCCATACGAAGAAAATTTTAGCAAATATTTTGAAAAGAGGGGAGGGCCCATAAACGGCTGTGCCTAGGGCCTACGAAAGGTATAATCCGGCTCGGCCTACACAGGCAGGTCGGCTTATGCTATGATATTAATTTTGTTAAATTTGAGTGAGGCTCACAGCCTGTTATAATTTATAAATTACTGAAAACTCTCACGAATGGTAAAATTACGCGTAAATTTAAATGCAAATCACGATAATAAAATTTCCTAGAATATTAAGCCTGTTCACACATTGCCTCGTAAGCATAACATAAGCGGAGGGATACACCGGGTGGAGGTTCTTAACTGTGTTGATTTGTTTATGTTTATCTCATAAGTAAGATAATCTCTGAAGCAGGAAAAGAGGTTCAAGCTATTCTATTATTTAACGAGCTTTGCTTTGTGTATCTATGAGGAAGAGAAGTCTCTTCCTTTGCTTCAAAACAAGCTTTTGTTTACATCCGGAGCAAAGAAATGGCTTTTATGAGGCAAATATTTACGTTTCGGCTTTGATCTCAGTTAGTAGTTTACATAGCTACGTCACAAAATAAAAATTTAGCTAGTTCAATAGAATTCAAAATTCAGTAGTTCAAGTGAAAATTGAACTAGTTCATAGATGCTCCCTAATAAAGCTCAACAAACAGTTTAAAACTGGTGGAGAAAGGAACTGTAATAATTTCAACTCAATAAAAAATTACCAACTAATCATGTGCAAAAAAAAAAAAAAAAAAAAAAAAAAAAAAAAAAAATTAAAANGGGTGTCATATTTTCCGAAAGCATCGATTTCTGCATATAAAAGAAATATTGCAAAGAAAAAAGTCCCAAAACTGCTCCATGAATAGCATACTACTACATCACATCTCATTTATTATATTTTTTCCAAAGACTAGAGAAGTAGGCCGGGATAACGTAGGAGGCTGGGCCCATGTCAGAGAGTTCGTGGGTCCGAACCCCACCGGCTGAAGACTCCCCGTGTATTTGGTGACTGATGCACGTTAAATTCTGTCGAGTCGCAAAGTCCTCCATATTCCCATAACAAATCAATACCTCTGGGGGTACTCTGATTCAGGTCAAAATTACGATCTGTGGATGAATGAATGGATCCGCCTTATAAACGAGTGTGACGTACGATGTGGCTGAAGTCGGATTCTCGGTCATAGATGGCGTCACTAACAACAAGAAGCACAGTCTCTGCCTTAAAATTGCTTGGCCTCTCCAAGCAGGCTTGCGAATGTGGCAAGTGGCATTAGAAACAACAACAACAGACTAGAGAAGGCCACCCTTTTTCAGAGTTAGATTACAAAGATGTTATTTTCCCTTTTCATGCAAGATGTGCTTTATTTTGGTTACTGGCTATCGAATTGGGCTATAGGTGGCGTAGAACAGAACTGTCTACCTATATGGCAACACTTCGCATGCCTTCAATGTTACCGTGTGGAGAGTCATAGGAGAAGGGAGTAAGCCAGTTTCACTCTTGGTTTTCAAATAGATTAAAAACTTTCAAGTTAAGAAACTATATGGAACTGAAAACTACATTAAACATTGTTCCAAAAGAAAGCATTATGGAAATTAAAATTTTTTTTTAATTAATTAAAAACGAAAAATATTAAGAAAAGAAAGAAATATCGTAATACATTTCCCATGTAACTGAAGGAAGAATGCATGGAACCGGTCTTCTCCTCAGATGGCATATTCGAACGTTGAGATCACCCATAACTAAATAGATTTTTGTTTAAAGCAATTCAATTGCCTGTATTTCTCTGATTATAGATAATGCGTTATGATTATAGATAATGCGTTATGATAATAGATAATGCGTTAAGATTATAGATAACGCGTTAACATAATTAAATTGGCTTGTAAGGCTTTATATTTCTCGACGTCTTCTAATTGAAGCCAATTAAATTGTTTAAAATACTTTCTTAAACCGTTGTATCAGCTTCAAATCAGCTTTCAATTGAAAGAACAGAAAATTTAGGAAAGAACTTATTTTCTGAAAGTACTATTTATATGGTTTATATAGAAATATATCTGTGATTTTAAAACGAAAACTTATGCGGTATCAGCACCAGTCCTTAAATTACAAGCTTGACTCCCTACATAGGATTTTTTTTTTTGCAATTTATTTATTTATTTTTTGCAGGTGGGGTATTCACGTTGGCATTTTTCATATGATTAAGTGCATGGAAAGCAGAAATTTATAAGGAATAACAAATATATATTAAAAAATTATTTTTACATGGAATTATGTTTGGATATTAAAACTGTGTGTAAAACACAGCTTTCAAATCGCTTCGAAACTTCCCGTCATATTTTCATAGTCAAAAATCATTAGAACAAGAGACATTCTTTTATTTGTAGTGTATATATATATATACAGGGTGATTCTAAAAAGATGAGGAAAATTTTAGGAAGTGATAGTACACACCCGGACAAACAATTTTTATCAAAGAATGCATGGTCGAAAACAAAACCCAAAACCGCTAGAGGGCGTCAAAGTTTATGTTCTTATATGAGGCAAAAACACACAAAGAACGATGAAGTTAAGTTATAAAAGCAAATTTAATGGCATGTGGTTACAATAAGTGTTCAAAACAGTGGCCGGCAGNTTTAGCATCTTCCATGGATTATTATTAAGACTTAATAGAAGAATTCGCTGCCCATCCAGTTTATAAGAAGAGTACTTTTCCACCCCATGCATGTCTGAGAGCATGCCGGGATCCCGAAACACCATGGGAGAAAAGGAGTGTCAGCCACCTTTATTTTTTTAAGAAATATTTTTTTCTCTGTGAAACTTTTTTCTGTATCACCCAGTTGAAAATGTTCACACAATGAAAATAACTTTCAGTGCTAGTAGTGTTAAATGCATGTTTTTATTAAATTCGAGTTGATATTTCACTATGGGCAATGATTTTTAATTTTGGATACAATTTTAAGCTCAAAATTTTACAATAGCAAAATTGTTTTTGAATATATGGGGACAAATATATAGAAATTTACCAATTATAAATTATTTTCATTTGTAGTGACAATTTTTGAAAATATATTCTCACTTCACTATATTTTTGTGTTGATTTTTTAACATAATTTTTAATTTTCACAAAATAGGTACTGCTTAAAAAAACCTAGACAGACCCCATATATATATATATGTTTGTGTGTATACGTGAAGAGCCATATAAAATCATCAGTTATAAACAACAAGTGGTTGTCGTGGTAATAAACAGTTCGTTCTCGGTATGGAGTTGAGCAAAAGTGTTTTTCATCTACTAAATCAGAACACAGACCGAACATCTTATAACTCGATTTCTTGAGGTTGTCGGTTCCGGAATCGAACCAGACTCCGAGGCAGAATCTTCTTCGGCTATTGTTTCCTGCACAGGGAGGGAAGAAAAAAGCTCAGATTATTGAAGGAAATGGAAAATCAAATAGGTAACTTTAGGTCAAGTCTGAGAAGCTCCTGACTTGAAACGTTGGGTACTTGTTTTTATATTTTGTGCAACATACAGGGTACAAAACTGTTCATGGTAAATTTTGCTTTCTTACACTAGTAATTTAAATTATAGAAAAAAGTGAGTTCAGTAAATCATGCAGATACAAATGTAAATTTTTTTCCTTCAAAATGCAAACAAGTGGACAACTATAGTTTGTCTACCACAAAGTCTGTCTGTTGTTATGGAAACAAGAATGTCTCATTTCAGGGAGGGTAGCTTCTCTTCACTCCAGGACTAACACAACAGAACGAAGAAAAAGATTCACTTTCTCTCGCTGACCCAAGTGAAAACCCCTACTCACACCCCTACTTGAAATAGTTTTACCTCGTTACCATAGTCACCACCACGGGTCCAGACGAATGGTTAGGGGAGTTCCTGCTGTAGACAAACTATAGCCATCTTTTCCTTTAGTGTCGTAGTGAAGTCAATCGAACTGTTAGTTCAAACGTGAATATTTGTCACAACTTTATTTAAAATTGAAACTAATATCGGCTGAAAGCTCAATTTCCCCAGAAAGAACAAGTACAGCACGTTACGTAACACATCTGGTTGAAGCTTCTTCCTGGTTTCAAATATAAGGCACAAGTTGAGGCAAATATTTACCGAGAAAATGAAACACTTAAGAGGCACCACCAACGCCTTCTACAACTGAAAGCCTCCACACGGTTTTTTATAAGTTGTCCGATCATACTATAAAGGTAAACCAGTTTACGAAAGAGCCATTTAATAGAAAATCTAGTAAAAATAAGAAAGTGGTAGCAGATATATGTCTAAAAAATTTTTTTAATTTATGAATATGATCGGTTTGTCTTATTTATTTGTCTACCACTACAGATTCAATTCTCAAATATACACGATAAATTTCTCTCGAGTACTTTGAAAATAGAATTTGAGTACATGCGCAGAACTGGCTCAATTTTTAAACAGTCTGCAGAGACTACTTATGGAAACCGTGGGGAGGCTTTACGATGTAGGAGTTGATTGGTTCCACTCAAGACGTGTCTTCATGATGATTGCATTTTAAAATTTTGAAACAAAACTCTTAAAGCTTACATTTAGTTTATCTGAACTCTACATTATAAATTTGAACTGTCAATTAAGGTGGGTTTAACACTGATAGCTTTTGAAAGGCCGCGGAAATAGTCACGGATTAGAAAACTATTTAATTAGCGTTCCCTTAACAGAAACAGTGGTGATTTAGAGTAGAACATATCGTGGAGACATTAATGCCATTCTTTGAGCCTTGGTGGCTTAGAGCACTTGCTGCCTCCCAGTGAAGTGAACCGGGTTTGAATCTCGACGATGGCTGGTCGATACGAATTCCGCACATGGCTCACACCAAACACGGTGCTGGAATAAAGCATTCTCAGTGTAGACGGATTATGGGTAAGATACCACTTGCCGTCTGGAGGGGAGGTTTGGAGTAGCCGTGGGAGGTTTTCGTGGTTTTCCTCTCGATGTAACGCAAATGAGAGTTAGTTACCTAAAAAAGTCTCCACGAAGGTAAATTTCTCCCAATGCTTGATCCAAAAGTTCCCTTGTCTTGGGTTGAAAACTGCAAGGCTACGGAATTGAACATTGGTAGTTGTAAACTCAAAATTGGGCCTACTGTTCAACAGCTGTTATAAAATGAAATGAAATAAAATAAAACCATATTTAGAATGGACACTTTTTTTCCGCGAATTTCTAAACTACATCGCTGCGTAACTATTTAAACGATGGGAGAACTTTTTATCTCTTATCTGATAAAAGGAAATTATATAATGTGATAATTAATATATATTTTTTTCACCAAGGTATTAATAGCTTCATCATATCACATTGTCGGAAATCACGAACGAGCCAACGCGTTTTTATCACTTTTTTCCTATCATGTACTTTTACTACCGGAATCTTTCTACAAAGGAAATCTTCTTCTTTTTAAAGATTCTAAAGAGATGTCATTTAAATTAATTAACTTGAAGAAATTTGAACTTTCGCGGAGAACTTTTTGATGGCACTAACCAGCATTTGCATTGCATGGAGAAAAAGACCACGAAAACATCCCATGGTTAGTCCGATGGCAAGGGGACTCTAACTCATGATCCGTCGACCACTGAGTATATTTTAAAGCCAGCACTGCGGTCGGTGCAAGTCGGATGCAGAATTTGTAACTACCAGTTATCGTTGGGTTTCGAACCTGCTTCACCTCATTAGAAGACGAGCTGTGTGATTATTGATAATCGGAGGATCACTTTGTTGGATTAAATGTGTTAATAGTGCCCTGTCCTGGAGTCATTCTTCGATGTGACTATGAAAGCAAACGCAAGTCTTTTACCTCCTTAAATACCCTGAATTATGAATCACTACTGTATTTCTGACGCTATCACGCTTTTCATTGGGAAACTTTATATACATGTTTCAGAAATAACATAAAACATAAACTCATGTTTGTGAAAATTGAAACACCATGAAGGATTTACGCGAGTGAGCTGAAATTTTCACGAAATGCGAAGTAGAGCATGATATGCAAATGATTAGAATTTCAGACCTGTAGCGCATGCGTATGCTGAGCAGCGCCCTCTGAACGGCGGATGGATCCGAATAAATAGACGGCTGTAGCCAAGCGAGTATGGTTATCGGTGGTTATCTGCTAGTGGTAAAAGTTAGCTTAGTCATTACTTATGCCTATTCGACGAAAGAGAGCGAGATTTCAACAACTTACGGAGTTTAAACGGGGGAGAATCATCGGCCTTCGTGAAGCTGGATTATCTTATCGTGCAGTAGCCGCTCGTGTGCAGCGTAACAGCAGCACAGTGATGCGTGTTTGAAAGCAGTGGATGGACGAGTGTCGGACAACTCGGAAATCCGGGAGTGGACCCCGAAATGTCACGCCAGCTTGCGATGACAGACACCTGTTCGGCGTTGCTCTAACGGACCGTACGGCTCCCTCTAGACAACTGGCAGCACGGTGGTCAATAGCTATAGGTGCTTCATTGTGTGCTTTATCAATTCGTAGACGTCTACTGCAGCGTGGACTGCGTGCAAGGACTTCTTTGTACAGGATCCCCCTCACGCTAAACCTTCGCTGCATGCGGCTGCAATGGGCCAACCAGCATAGGGACTGGCTTGCTGATTGGCAGCGTGTCGTGTTTTCTGACGAATCTCGCTTCAATTTGTGGTACCATGATGGCCGCATTCGTGTTAGACGCTATGCCGGTGAACCCCATTTTCCGGAGCGCGTTATCGAACGCCACAGTGGACGGAGTTACGGTCTGGGGTGCCATGGCATATCACGGACGATCTCAATTGCTACGAATTGTGGGTAATCAGAACAGCAACCGGTACATCAGTGAAGTTCTACTGCCCCAAGCTGTTTCCTCCTTTCAAGCCTTGCCAGGTGCTGTATTTCAACAGGACAATGCCCGCCCTCATATTGCTAGGACTGTTCAATCATTCCTTGCATAGCGACAGATGCATAGCTTCTTCCTTGGCCGGCGTATTCCCCCGATACGTCGCCGATTGAACATGTGTGGAATTTCGTTGGTCGGCGTCTCGCTCATAATCCTCGTCCTGTTGCTTCTACAGACGAACTTTGGGTACGCATACAAACAGTATGGAATTCTCTTCCTCAGACAGGCATTCAAAGTTTGCTTGACTTCATGCCACGTCGTGTAGCAGCACTTATTGCGGAGCGTGGTGGCTACACAAAATACTGATTTCGATCTCTTGTTATTGTTTGCTTGCTTTGAAAGTTTAATCATTTATTTTTACCACTACCACTCAACTGTGTATTAAATTTCATTCAATTATGACGATTCCTTCATGGTGTTGCAATTTTCACAAACAGGATATATAAACAGACAGTTGAAAACAGACAAATATTGCAATCTTCGAATGATATCGCTACGAGATCGTTTTTTCCTGCATGCAATTCTCATCGGCGCCAAGAGAAAAAGGAAAACCTGATTGGATATATTTAACCAATCAGGTTCTCATCTGACGGCCAGTGGACTTGCGTAAATGACGCGATGTGAGAATGACTTTTTAAGCTTTCTGAAGGGACAGCTTTCGTCAGTCTGCGAAGATCTGTGATATTGGCCCGTGTTAAACTGTTCTTCAGTAAAAAGCTCGACTTCGAGTGCCACCGATATTCGGGCTACCAAATATAGTTGGCAATTCTGATCCTCGCTGCACAGGGATGCTTCCCCTACAATCGCCCATTGTGTAGTTGCAACTACTGCACTGGTGTAAGAAATTAAGAGAATTTGCAGACTGGGTCGAACATCTCTAGAACTACTAGACAGATTTTAATGAAATTTGATGTGTGTTACAATACAAAACAAATAACCATTCCACAATTGTAATACGCACGCATGATCGTGCGTGTAACACTCTTTGGAGTCGGATGGTATGAAACAGCGGTTGCAGAATAAACATAAAATGGTTTAATAGGTGATATGAGACTATGAAGAAATGAAAAAAAATTGGAGAATATGTCAACCAAAGCTGACGTCTTCAGGGGGTACCAGCTGTCTTTTATGACATCCGAGGCTGGTACCCCCTGAGGACGTCAGCTTTGGTTGACATATTCTCCAATTTTTTTCATTTCTTCATAGTCTCATTTGTTTAATTCCTCTTGGACTCACTGCTGCTTCGAGCTTCTTTCCATAGGTAAGATGCATTATTAATATTTTTAGTTGCTATAATATTTTGAATTCTTTACTTAATAGGTGATATGGTACCCCTCTTACAGATATACAGACCTTGCAGCGTGATTTCATACTTGGAGATAAGGCAGTTTATAATTTCATATTCATATGTATTATAATTGTTGAATGGTTATTTGTTTTGTATTGTATCAATGTTATGTAGATAATATCAAATGTCATTAAAATCGGTGTAGTAGTTCTTAGAGATAAACGACCCAATTCTCTTCATTTCTTAGACCAACTTTAATAACAAAATGAATTTACCTGTTCGTCCGAAGAAGGATCTAGGGCGTCCAAAAACTCTTCGGGACTCCTGATGAGGATGGGTGATGGGACGTGTCTTTCAGAGGGCATGTTAGAGAGTGGGGGTGAGACGAAAGAAGGCGTGATAAAGTGAGTCAACCTCTCGATGATGGAAGAAAATCGGGATTCCCAGTCAGCCTGTCTACCGCTTCCACCATGTCCTCCAATACCTTTTTTGTGGAGGGAATAAATTTTATTTTATATTTCGCATCGACTACCCTTTGTATAAATATTTTTAGAATTACTTTCTTTAAAAAATGAAGTTAAAAATATGGATGCAGAACCTAATAGGCGATCCATTAAGCGTACGCGGGGCCCTAGGCCATTCAAATTTTTGGGGCCCTTAAATTAAACTTTTTTTTTCTTACATTTTTTATTTATTCAAATATAAAAGTATTTATATATCTTTTCATTTAAGAAAGCATATTTAAAATTAAAATAAATAATAATAAATTACCTTACCTTATTTTATTAAATTCGAACTAAAAAATAATCATAACATTTTGAAAAAATTTGAAAAATCATTGTTTTTCTTAATTTTTTAAAATTTATTTTCAGAAAATCCATTTTATGGGGGCCCCTAATCATGGGGGCCCCAGGGTATGGCCTAGTCTGACCTAATGGGTCATCCGGCCCTGAGGCGATCGCAACGCTCGAATTCGCCATCTGGGTTCCATGCTTTCCCCCTTCCCTCTCCTCCTATTTTCAGTTGTATAGGAATGTAATACGGTATTTTTCCTTTTTAAAAAAAATTATTTTTCGTATTTAATTACTAAAAAATACTTTTAAAATTTCTATGACACTTTATTTTAGAACTATGTTTAATGTAGTGTTCAGTCCCAAATAGTTTCTTAACTTAAAAGATTTTGATCTATTTGAAAATCAAAGCGGAAACTAAAGTACTTCCTTCTTCTATGACTCACCACACGCTAATGGTGAAAGCATGCGAACAGGTAGAGAGTGCTGTTCTACGCTACCTATAGCCCATTTCGATCGCCGATAGAGCTAAGCGCTAAATTCGTAATAAGACTTCCTACTTCAGATTTATTGTTACGTCTAAGCTTAAAAATCATGCTATCTTATATTTATTTTGATACTGTAGACAATATGACGTGTGCTATTTGTAAATCCCCCTTTAGCAGTAAACATAAAGATGACACTCAAAACATAGCAAACCCTTATTCATGTCTCGACTCTCGAATTTGTCTTAAATCAATTTATGGCTTATGTCTCTTACGTGGAAAATTGAATATAAATCTCAATAATAAATCTTCTTAAACCTTCAAGAATGTTCACACATCGCCTCCTAAACATGTAACATAACACTGGAAGTTCTCAAGATTTCGTTCTAGTTTCAAAGTTGTCTTCATTCAATTTCAGTTCAGAACTATTTCCATTCAGCTCCAAATCTATACACTCAAGATGTCTCAAATTAATATTTTTTAAGTAAGAGGAGAACTTGCAGCTTATTTGAACAAAAAAAAAATAGTTTATTGCTCCCATTTAAATATTTAATTATTTTATATTCGCTGCGTCAGGTAAATTCAATAAAGAACGCTATACGTGGTTGCACGTGTGGTTCGCGTCATCCAATTTATACTTTTATAGTTATCTAATACCACGCATTTTTATCCTTTCAATTCTTACGATTAGTGCACACTCCCCCTCTATCTTGTTCAAATGTTCGATCTTTCATAAAATACTTTTTATGCATTCACTCAAGTTCAAATACATTTTGTTCTAAACTTGTAGTTAATAAGAGTTTTTTCAAACATTAATTCCTTCATTAAATTTAATTAGTTAATTTTAGTTTATATGGTTGTAAAAATAGTAATTATTTAATGAAAGTAACTGAAATAAAATGTTTCTTTGTTGAGCTAAGTAGGAATTGAATTATTTTTTTTTTTTTTTTTTTTTTTTTTTTTTTTTTTTTTTTTTTTTTNTTTTTTTTTTTTTGCATTACTTGTTTTCAAACGACTCTTACCTAAGAAACAACCCTAGTATTTAAAAATAATATTTCTCGATGTTGTAAAAAAACAAACAAAAATGTTAGATTAAGAAATAGTTTCTAAAAAAGAAGTTACCACACAAATCAACATAAACTAAAGAGCTAAGAATGAGGGCCAAAGCTCCAGGTGGTGGCCAAGGTGTAGGTTCCAGTATGATGGGCACTATTGGTTTCCTTAGAACGTCAGCTAAGCTCATCTCTCTTGTGCAAAGAGGGGAAAGAATATAGCGAGGGGTCAGGCAGCAAAGAATAACCTTTAAAAAAAACAACCACTTATTAAATATTTACATTGTATTGTCTTTTGGGAATTTACTTGTATTTATAAATTACGCATAATCAAGGAGCAGAATAAATCTGCAGACTTTTCAAGAGTAATAAACTCAAATTTCGAGGAGGGCTTTATCGACGATTTTTAAATTTGAATAGATAGTAAAATATTAATCTAATGATAAGAGAACAAGCACACAAGACAAGCTTACTCTTGATGTTTTACAATAATATGTGAATTATCTAACTATCTTTCCTTAAAATAAAAGAATCTGCTTACTGGTTAAAATGAAAGTTGAGAAATATACAATCGTGATTCAATGGCTATAAAGAAATGACTCCATTTACATTTTGAAGATGATCTATAAGTGTTTTGTGTAACTAAACTTATATTATCTTAATAATAAAGAAAAATTGAGCTGTCAGAGGATTAATTAATGTGCGAATTATATAGGTAGTTTTGAAATTACCTTGTTGAAATGGAAAAATGGAACAATTGTTTTGCACTTAATAAACCAACTTAGCTAATCTTCAAATGAAATAGAATAACTGCACTTGCAACTGATACATTAAGTCGAATTATCCAGATTCAGAAGTATGGACCTTACTTTAGATTTATTGATGCCCTCGTATATCTTCCCATAGAGTGCATCTCCGGCCATCAAGTGACCGACGTCCATCCAGCAAGTGTAGCCAGCAAGCTCAATCCTGTGTCGAAGTTGTAAAACAGCCTCTTGGGAATCCCAGTGATAACTTATGAATACAGGAGGGGAGGGGGTCTCTTGCTGTCCTGGAATACAGAATTCATTTTTTGTTGATATTCTAGAACAGAAAGAATTGGAAGAAAAAGTTTACATTACGCAACATACTTGTCTCCTCCTTAGGCATTTCCTATAAACTGATACGTTTTGAAACAGAGAATGATAAGAGATTAGAAGCCCCTCATTCACGAATCTTGGCTTCGAAGGGCAGATATTTTCCGATATGGGCGGCCCTATATAGAATTGTCAAATTCACCCGATATTTTATAATCATTATTCAGTCAATATAAGCCTTATTCTGGCCCTATATAGGCTGACACTGCATAGGACCAATATTAAAAAATCTAGATATCCCAATATTGGTCCCGCGGTGCATGTTCATATTAAGCCAGTTTTGAGCCCAGTTGGGGATTCTTTTATTGCTTTCAACTTTTCCGATAATTAAATTAAAAAAAGCGCAGTAAAATTTCGCCATTTCTAATCAGTTTCAGACAAATTAAAGACATAAAACTTTTGAACAAAAAATTAGATGCGCTGTTCTAAAAAGTTAAAGTTACCAGTGGCAGATGGAACTGATTTAGAATTTCAGGAGCACAGAAGTGTCGAAATCCTCTCTTACCTTAATTTTTAACCAAATTTGCTTTCAAGATACTTTTAAATTACAGTTAAATATTAGTAAGTTATGATAATTCTGATTTAACTAATTCTTAGGGACCAAAAATATTATTCGCTGAATCGTGGATAATTCGTAATATCTTTTGCAAAAAAAATTGACTTACCTTATGAAATACGTATTTGAACATCACTAATATGTAAATACATGAAATAAAAAGAAATCTTGCACTTTTTATTCAGGAACTTAAAATACAGCGAATGATTACGTGCTGATCAATTTGAAATTTGAAAAGCATTTCCTGAGTATGGCTTGCTTATTTCCTCGATTCCTTACTTTAAAAAGTTCTTTTTCGATGTCATGAATAGAAAAAAAATACTCCTTCATTTACATCTTGCTGCAGTAGGTAAGTTTTCACTGTTTTCAAACCGTGCAAAACATCAGAAAAAAGTTGCAGTTTTCTCTGGAGATTCATTATCACCGACTTCTGTGTCAGAGTCATTGTTTCCTATAAATCTACCTCATTGACATCATAAAATTCGTTATATCGTGAAATTCGGTAAATAGGGGTTCGTTAAACCGAGGCTCGACTGTATTTATAGTTTTCAGTTTTTATTTATTTAAACTTTTTTTAAAAAAATTTTAGTAGACAATTTTAAATAAAAAATCCCAAAAATTTGAAGGGAAGCTTCTAGACCTCTTATTACAAATCAGGTACTAAATAAAACATGACACTATCCAAAATACAGTCGAACTCGTTTATAACGAGCTCGGATTTAACGAGAACTCGGATTTACCGAGGGAAACGAGAATATTTGGTTGGATCAATGTTAAGTNGTGGGGGGGGGGGGATAGTTATCATTAAATTAAGAAAAGTATTTAATTAAATTAATTAAAGTAAGTTAAACTCATTAATTTGACCTCCCAAACCCCATCCCTCTTCTGGTTGCACGCCTGCCTTAAGGACCCGTTTATTACGAGAACTCGGATTTAACGAGTACATGTTACGGTCCCTTTGTGCTCGTTATAAACGAGTTCGACTGTAATACAAATCAAAGCTTCGTTGTCAGCCTTTTTCTTATTATTATTTTTCTTATTCAACGCTGTTTCATAATCTACTATGGATTTAAATAAATACTGAGTCAAATCAGAATTATTTGATTCTTGATGTCTTACTATATATAAAAATCTAATAATAGTGTCGCAGTTGTTCGTGCATTTTGATTGACCGGAAAATCACGTGGTAGGATCCAGTTTTTCCTCATTCCTTGCCGTATTGGTTGCCATATTGGTTGTCATATTGTCTTGCCAGATTGTTTTGTCAGCATAAAATTAATAAAACTCATCAAGGTATTGTTTTTCGATAAATATTTTTGTATCCCTATTTTAAAGTTATTTTCCTCTACTGCTATTATTACGCTTTTAATTAGAAAATTTGAAACTAAGAGAATTGTTGCTGTTTTTTTTTATTATTATAATGTAACATTTGTACATTTATTAAATTACTGAGCTACATTTTAAGATGAAGTTATTCAGAAATATGGTCTAATCTTATTAACCGTTTTACAATTGTTATTTTTGTGCAAATAACATATATATATACTGTTATAAATTACAGTTAAAGAGATCTGTTCAATGATTTAGAACTTAACGATCAGCTTCATGCACAATGCGATGCAAGCAATGATAGTATTTAATATATCCGGCCTGTTTGGTAAGCGAAAATATTAAATTCCGGTTGTGAACTCATGAAATTTGCTTGAACAATATAATGCTATAAAACTATAAATGTTATTTTAAGAAATGATTACTTCTGTTCACCGATAGATCTAAGTATTTATAATACTAATAGATAATAATATTTGGACTTGGGAAGTGGAGGCACAAGCGTAAGCAAATAGAATTCCTATTAAATACATAGTATTCAGTTCAGTTACATATTTACATACATGTTAAGTGAATAATTTTAACTTCAGTAGTACTGAAAAAAAAACTGTTTTCTGCTAAGAAACAGCAATTATTGCGAAGCAATCCTCGGGGTCAAAGAGTAAGGTATATAGCGAATAGAGGGCTTAGTTCCCTATAAAAATATGTTTTGCGTCCGAAAACACTGGCAAAATGTGCTAAACAAAAGTGAAAACATGTCAGTTAGGCCTATTGAACGAGGAGGTATAGTTTGTTCACCAGGAGTTGGCACTTGGCCCCGCCTTCATCACGTGGTATCTGACAATACTATTTTTGAGAGAAGAATGTGGACAATCCTAAACAAGATTGCAATTTGGCGATCTTATAACAAAAATATTTACTACGCAATCTTTGAGTGCATTTTTTTAACATTAAATATGTCATAAATTTGATGCTATTTCTCTCTTTTGAGTGAATAGTTTGTTCTTTTGGAGACGTTTTGCTGGGTAAACAGCAGTTTTTGAATTTAAAATATATATGTAATTAGCTAGAGTAATGAAAAGTAGAATAGCAGATGATAAAGCAAAGTTAGTGACTGAAAAAGAATTCACTGTTTGCTTTAGGCACTCATTAAAGGTTGTCTCACTTTCAAGCGCGTTTCTCCTCTTACTCCCGCGTTGGAATAAATTTTGCTTCCGAAGAGGTGGTACTCAAGAGTCAACTCCTGGTGAACGAACTATATATAACAATTATTATTATTTTTAAATAAAATTTAAACGATTTTCCGAAGCAGCGGTTCTCAAAACTCGTTACGATACTCTTTTACATGAATTGGAATATGAAGAAGAGTTTACCAAGTTCAAGTGTTATGTAATTGGCGACATCTATTCTGTCTATTTGCTCCAAGCAACTGACCAACAAATCGACGCAATATCTCGTTCTGCCATTGCTGTTTATCCAATGTTCTAAGAGGCTGACAGGTGGGATGGCTTCTTCTCCAAATCTTTTGATCTCTCGCTCATTGTAACCTGTGAAGAAATAATTTTTTAAGACTATACTTTTTAATTACCATAAGTAATTTAAATTTTTACCATAAGTAATGTTAAAATTCTAATATTTTTGGAGATGTAATTTTACCTTAGTCATTCATTTACATACTAATAAAATTATAATTACTATATATTTTACATCCTATCCCCTTTTTTTTACGAATTTTAAGGAGGGATAAGAGGTAAGTGGGGGAGACGAGAGAGGAGGATCACTGTTTATTTTTTTAGAAATTTGAAGACACTTATTCTAGAATGTATACTAACTCAATCTCCTGGCTAAGGCAATCCAGTCATGTCCAGTGTTGGCACATGTAAGCATCTTCCCAACCTGCGTCAACCATGACGAATCCTCCTTCAGTGGGTCATTCCACAGATCTGGATTAGATATGCAGTCCAATTGGATACTTTCTGAACACTTTGAATATTCATCTGAAACAAGAATATTTTTTTTTTATAGTTGTTCTTTTTTCCATTAGCATCGAATGTGCGTATTCCTCATTTTCTGCAGACCGATTAATTACTTTATTTTATAACCGTCGTAGAACAGCCACCCAATTTTGGATGTATGACTATTAATATTCAACTCCGTAACCTTGTCATTTTAAACATAATCCAGAAGACAAGGGAACTCCTGGATCGAGTATTGGAAGATATTATGCCTTATAGGAAGATTTTTTTGATGGAACTAATCCGTATTAGCGTTACATGGAGAGGCTAAACCACGAAAATCTCCCACGGTTAACTTGACGGTAAGGGGACTAACCCATGATCCGTCTATCACTGAGGATATTTTTTACATCAGCTCTCTGGTCGGTGCTAGCCGGATGAGGAATTCGTATCGACCAGCGATTGCTGGGATTCGAGCACTGTTCTCATTGGAACGCGAACGCTCTATCCCCTGAGCCACCACAGTTCCTGATTGATTATTGCATAATTTTATAAAGAATATACCTACACACAATTTGTACAATACACGCGGATGGCCTTCTGGATTGGGTTCAAAATTACAAGGCTACGGAGTCTAATATTATTAGTCGTAACCCCCCTCCCCAAAAAAAAAGAAAAATTGGGTCGGCTGTTCAACGATGGTTATAAAATAAATAAAATAAAATACACGCATGAAAATCCGTTATTAAAGTTAATTAAACAATCTAATAAATTGCCATTTTTTATGTTTTGTGGTCTTGTGACCGGCAAATCGCCTAAATTAATAACAAAGATTACTACAGTAGGGAACCGATTATCCGGAAAGATCGGGACCATCGCTATTCCGGAAAACTGATTTTTTCGGTTTTCTGAATCGCTAAACAAAAAGCCGTTTTTTTATCGTTAAACCCAACTAAAAAAAATTTTTTTTTTTTTTGAAAATGATCTTAAAAAGAAGAAAAAACGATAGAGTAATGCACTAATGATTATTTCCAAAATGGTAAACATTTTTCAAAAAAGAACGAAAAATCCTAAAATCTTATGAGGAAAAAAAATTTTTTTTTTTATGGCGAGAAAATTTATCGAATTTCGTTTCGGTTTTTTGGTTTTCCGGTTTTCTGATTTCCGGATAACGGGTTCTGTACTGTACTATGTAATACATATATTACCGTGAATGACCGAAACGAAGAAAATGTGAACTTCCACCGGTGAATGTCGACAATCACATAGTCCCTTCGGTGAATGTACGAAATATTTGTTATATCCGATTTGATATTAATTCATTCGTCGATGTTAGTATATTTATTCGATATTTTAATTATCTGCTGAGGATAGATTAGGAGAAACATTAGTGATCGGAGTACCTAGCAGTGACACTGAACCTTAAAAAAAACATCAGTGCACTGGGCAAATGTATACCGGGCAGTGGCACTTAACTAGACCTAGTATATATTTCGGACATTCACCAAAGCGACTATGTGACTGTCAACATTCTCCGGTGGAAGTCAAACAACCACCCATTTGGGTCTTTCACAGATATGACATAGATAATAGCATATTGCACATATGTATAAACAAAACTAAATTTGAATCTGGAATACGAATACAAAAAAGTGAAAAAGAAACGCAGATACGATACTCAATTTCCAATAATTAAAAAAATAGAGACACATCAAACAAACCTTTTATGGAGGCACTGAAGAAATATTTCTGGATAAAATCTGTTCTTATCAAACGGAAATCGCATTCTATTACCTTAAATGTAAAAAGAAATACAATAATAAATTGTTACAAGATTAGGTGAATTGTAACATTCGATACAAGTTTTAGACGAGTTAAGTTTATTTAATAAATTTCAGGGAACACTCACGCACGCAGAAACATTTAGTTACACAGGATCGAACCACACAGGCTCCAAGTTTCACCCAGAAACAAACTTCAAATAACTAATAACATAGTCACTTAGAGTCTTAACCACTAAGGTTACCCGTTTCACTAAGAAACTACTCCGACAGACAATTCCAACTGACTCCTCATTTACATTGAGAAATCATTGCATTTCCTTCAGACGAGCGACATCTGGCGGGATAACATAGAGGCTGTTGTCTCGCTTATTACATATATATACTTTCACTTAGAATGAATCTAAATTAGTCCAGAAAGTTAGAGAGATTTATTAAGAGCCTTGAAATGTACAGGAAGCAAAGTAATTATTGTTTCGGCTTAAAACATGTGATCTTTTTATAGGACTAAATAATGGAACATTAAATGACAAATTAGAACATTCTAGAAACTTCCAGAAGATACAGAAATAATATATGAAAGCTTATATTATGTTTATAGAATTTTAAATTTTCTACGAGCCCTTAGGATCGAACTCTAACCTTTGATACGGAACAATTATATCATCTACTCAATATCTATTTCCTATACAACCTTCCACTGATTTCAATTAATTAATTAGGTTATAATTGAACATGGTTTTAAGTTAGAAATAATTAGCTTAAAATAATTTTTTATTTGGACTGTTAAACCACCGATTTCAGCGAAAAATAAATGATGATTCGCTGCACAATCATTTCTTCAACTATTTCAGCGATAAATAAACAGTCAACCAAACTCAAACAATGAACTCGTTTTCAGTCACTTCACTTGATCATCTGCTATTATACTTTTCGTTGTCCAGCTAATTGAATATATTTTAAATTTAAAAGCTGCTGTGTTTAGTAGCGAAATGTCTCCAAAAGGACAAACTATTCACTCAAAAGAGAGAAATAGCATCAAATTTATGACATATTAAATGTAAGAAAAATGGACATAAAGATTGCGAAATAAATATTTTTGTCATACGATCGCCAAATAGCAACCTTGTTCAGGATTGTTCACATCCTTCTCCCAAAAATAGCGAAATAGTATCGTCGGATAGCACGTGATGAAGGTGGAGCCAAGTGCCAACTCCTGGTGAACGGACTATACCAAGTCATTGCATAGAATGCCTGTACTTTTTTCATGCGTCATTCTATGCATAGAATACGTAAGTAATGCATTTAGTACTAATCATTTCATAGTTAAAGGATAGTCACGCTTTAAAATATGTTGATTATGCGTGAAAAATGAACACATTTTTGGCATTCTATAGAATGATCAGATTTCACACATATACGATAAAATGACTTACTTTCTTGGCGAGGCATTCGTTGAGCGTGAGTAGATGCATGCAGTGGAAATGAGTGCATTTCACTATATCGTGCCGTTGGCATGTTTTGGCACACGGACACGGAATGTTGATGGAATAAGAGAGTCTCTTGTAACAGACATCTCTCAGGTACTCTGTCTCCCTTTCCAATAAGTGACGAACCTTTCAACATAGCACATTATGCATATATATAAATAAATACAAAAAACACGAAAGAAATAAAGTAAAACAATAAGTTTTATTTATAGCGCGTAAGCTACAAGTATATAGAATTCATAAAATAAGTTCAAAATGTAAAAAAAACAAGAGAAAAAATACAAAACAATGAAAGAAGGGGAAAAAAATAATAATAAAAATAACAAGAAACCGGAAGAAAAAAAATCCGAAAAAAAAGGGACAAACATTTTAAAAAAATCCGAAAATAAAAGATATAATCTTTTCATCAGCTCACACGATTATATCCACAAAAAAAATATATTTTGATATATTTGAGATTATAGATATATTTGAGATATATTTTGCTTTGGCTATATTGATACAATTCTAGAAAGCACTCCTTTTGTGGCTATAATCGTGGAGCTGATGAAAAGATTATATCTTTTATTTTCCGGATTTTTTGAAAATTTTCGTCCCTTTTTTCATATTTTTTTCCCTTTCGGTTTCTTGTTATTTTTATTCCCCCCCCCCTTCTTCCATTGTTCTGTAATTTTTCCCTTGTTTCCTTGTTTATATATATATATACATATAAAGGTTCGTAAAGAAGTTTTTAAACTAGCAGGTGAATCAGTAAATAAAGCACTATATTCATTCCTTCGTTTGTCACTACTTTTTTATTCTACAATTTTTCGTCATTGCGGCTTGTCATAGTTTCACATTAAATGTATTCATATAATTAAATGAATGCTGAAAAAATAAATCTAAATATAAGCTTTTCCTTTCGTTAAAAAATCATGTATAACTATTGATTTTAAAAGTATAGTTTCTATTGATCCTTTACTTATTAAAAAAAAAAAGGATCTAAGATCGTGTTTGTCAAATTTTAATCAAAAGCAAGATTGGCGGTCGTCCTCAAATGATGTCACGCTTGAAGGAGAAGAAGGGGGTCACGAAATTGTGGCAAGGGAGAGGGTAGTAAGGTGTGACAGCACATATTTTAGTTTATCATTTAAAATCCTCAGAATAAGAAAAAAAAAATACTCATATGATCATAATGCTCACGAAAGTCGCTTAAAAATATAATTTGAAATAAGGTATGTCACGTAATGTCCTATTTCTGAACTGCAAACAAATTTTAATGTAATATGGGGTAACAAAAGGGAGGGATATAAATATTGAGGGAAAAAAGTGTGACATCATTTATGGATGACCCCCTAAACATTTTAAAAATTGAAAGAATAAGGATCACCTTTGAGCATATGTGCGGCGAGGGATAGGAATGCTTCATTTCATCGTCTGTTTTTAAACAATTTCTTTGACAAATGGCAACCTTCAAAAGATTTCAACCCTTTTAGTATACCTTATTATTTGCATATAAAACAAGTAATATTAAAAATAAATTTTTTTTTAAAGATGAACGATTATTTTATGAACGATTGAACATTTGAACGCGACATATAAATATATGTATGGAGAGTGCGAACTAATAGTAGGAAATGTGTGGTGAACCACCTTCTCACCAGATGGCGATGAACTTTGCTCGCCAGGTGGCAGTACGAAACTTTCCCCTCAAGAAAATGACTTTTCTATAAGATGGCAACATCTCTGAGTTAAAACCTTAGTTTCAAGAAATGGCAACAGGTCAATTGTCAAACATTCATTCCATCTTGCTGACTGATGAACTTACACCATTTTTAAAATGCTGCTGTCGCTAATCCTGTCCGTCTTTCTACTTGTAACTTAATATAATTTCTTTTATGTTTTATTATTATTAAACTTTGTTGATAGTTAATTTTTATTGAATTAATTTATTTAATATATTTAACCTAATCACCACAGATGGAATAAAAATGAAAGTAATGAAAAGTTTAATCTGTAACAAGGTGTTTAAACAATGGAATTTTATAATTTTGAATTTATCCGACACAGCGAATATAAAATAATTAAGTGTGAGCAATACACTATTTTTTTTTTGTCCAAATAGAGCTGTAAGTTAGAAATGATCACTGATATTATTTTTAAAATATGTGAAAACTGAATCCCTTCCAGTGAAATTTAAAACAATGACTGACGCTTAACCCATCATAAAATTCCATTTCGTTTTTCGCTCATCCCTATTTAATGAATGAATTAATATTTAAAAAAAATGCATTAACACCAGGTGTCATCCACTACAAGTTTAAACAAAAATTTATTTGAAATTGAGTGGATGAATAAAAAGTATTTTATTTAACTATTGAAAATTTGAACAAGATGTAGGGAGAGGGTGAACTAATAGTAGAGGAATTGAATAAAATGAGAGTTAATTACTTGTATTCTGTGTCCGTATATTTTTTGTAATTTAATACTGTGATTGTAATCAACTGGAACTTCTAAATTCTTTCTTCTCTTCCATTCATGTCGAGAGGACCAACGGAACAATCGAACTAAAAGCTTCGTGAAAAATCCAACTGGAAAATCAAGTTAAATTGTTACTTCGTTTCTCAACGTTATAAAAGACAATATGATTCAACCAAAGAAATGGTTTTTCAGGTTCATTTAACACATTTTTCCCCATTTTATTTTTTTAAAGTTTTTCTTTACTGATTTAGATAATTATGCACAAATTAGGGGGACCACAATGTGGCACAATATGCAAGTATGTATGGGAAAAATAATAGATTAGCCCACCTCATGGGGAGCCACCTTTTTAATTATTAAAAACAAAAATTTAATTATTACAAAAATGTAAAAATTATTTCAAATTATATAACAATATATTATTATTACCTGGAAGTAAACCATTGAAATCGAGAATCAGAGTCATGCAGTCGAAGCTGAAATTATCTCCTTGGATGACGTCATTCTGCGAAATCCATGGAATCGAGAATTTTAATGTGCTCGCTTCTTCTTGGATCTCTTCCGAATCCTACGCACAAAAAGTTTATTGTTTACTTAAATATGGAATCAAAAGTTTCACACCATTTTTGCAATGCAATGTGAAATGCAATTATATTTGCTTAGTATATTACGTACTTAAGTAGCTGTGTTCTTCATGAAAGGCAGACATTTTTACGGTGTTTAAAAAACAAGTTTCCAATTGAATTTAATCGTTTTTGTGAGAACCGGAATTCGAATTCTGCCGACCGAAGAATCCTCGTGCATTTAAATGGTGACTGGTGCAGGTTAAATCTGTCTCTCGGGGTCATGAAATTCCCATAACAACTAAATCCCTCTGGGGACACCGATTTGGAGTTGGGTCGCTCTCTGGTTCGAGTCCAAATTACGATTTGTGGATGAATGAAGGAATGTATGAACTTGTCTTTCTTGTAAAACGGGCTGAGACTTGCGTGAGTGCAGCTGAAATCGTATTCTTGGCCGTAGGTGGCGCCACTGAAAGGCAAAAAACCGCATCCTCCGCCTTAAATTTGCTTGTTTTCTCAAGTAGGCATCATGATGGCGTGGCAAGTAGGCAATAGAAACAACAACAACAGATCAATTTAAAAATTGATATAGGGGCAGTGGAAACTCACCTCGTCCAATAGAGAGTATAAAATATCCATGCTATCCAGAATGTCCAGTAGAATGGCCCCATGGTGAAAGAATGAGCAATTGGCATTGAAGCTCTTGGTCATCAGGATACCCTCATCAGGGTTTTCCTGTTACAAGAAAATTATTTTAATTTAATAATATAGAAACTATCTTTATAATAATGGTTTATAAAATTTTTTTTTAACTGACTTGATCCGCTCTTTATAAAATTGTGCGAGGTCCTGTTCGCTATGCGTGACTATATTTATTGAGAAACACCGTTGAAATCATAGAATAAACGAACGAACGAATAATTCATAGGGACTGAAAATATTATTCTCTAAATCGAGGAGAATTAGTAATATCGAGGGCAAAATAAAAAAAAAATTGACCAACCTTATGGAATATTCGAACATCCTTAGTAAGCAAATGCACAAAATAAATAGAAATCTTAAAATTTTTTATTTCGGAACTTAAAAAAACAGCAAATGATTACGCGATGATTAATTTGCAATTTTAAAGCGGAAAAGTTTGCTTATTTCCTTGATTTCTTACTTTAAAAAGTTCTTTTTCGTCGGCATGAAGACAGGAAATTGCTACATTAAGTAGGTTTTTACTGTTTTCTAAGCATCAGAAAAGGTTTCACTGGAGATTCATTACTTTAAAAAGTTTTTTTTCGGCTGCATGAAGACAGGAAATTGCTACATTAAGTAGGATTTTACTGTTTCCTAAGCATCAGAAAAGGTTTCACTGGAGATTCATTATCATCGACTTCTCTGTCAGAGTAGCCATTCATTGTTTCCTATAAATCTACTTCAATAACTTTATATATATATATATTNTATACATAGTGTACCCCCTAATTGACCTATAATTATTTCCCACTGAGTTGAAAAGAAGTTTATCTTTTAAGATAAACTTTTTTTCAACTCCCTCTGAAAAATATTTTTTAACAAACCCTTATTAAGAAATTTTTTTAAAATAAAAAGCTTTTTACGTTCGTTATTTTCGATCTATGCACATTATTTATCAGATCTTTAATTTAAATAAAATTCCCACTGATCAATGATTTTATATTTGAACTTTTTTTTTACCAATTTTTTTAATAAAAGAAACCCTTACGGATTTACATCTTTATTTCAATATTAAAATTTTTGAGGTACTAGATTTTCTTATGTACTTTTTCCATTATGGATCCTCAGGACACAGTCTGCACTGAATACAAAAAGGCTCCAGGCTGTGTCAGCAGACAGTGGGTCCTCAGGATGAAGTGCTGTTTTTTGCTAACATACATATCTTTAAAATTTCGTTTTGCTTATTTTTTGGTTTCTAGCATTTTATTTTATTGTTTACAGAAGACAAATTTGGTTTTATCTGCTTTTAGAGATTTTTCATTTTGACGTATTTTAAAAATTTATCTTAAACTTTTTATCTTAAGATTTGTTTAAATCAATTTCATACTTTGATTGAACACTTACGTAAGTAAGAACTATTACTGGAAACTTTTAAGCAGAGTATATAATACCTTTTAAGCAAATTATTTTAAAAATCCCTAACTATTAAAACATCATATGAAATAAAAAAAAAATATCAAAATAATTTGTTAAAAATTCAAAAAGAATAGTTTGACTTTTGAAAAGCAAAAAGAATTCTTTATTTTAATTCTTTACCTTGATTAATTTGGGAGCATCCTCGTTGAGGAGCTTATAAATGTGGTCTATGAACCATTGAGGCTTTAGAATGACGACGGTGCAATTGTTGTCGTTCTTCTGAAATCTCTCTGAGGGCATGTGCCATACTTTTCCCCGGTGGTGGTAGAAGTGGATGAGGGAGACGAATTCTTCTTCACACTCTATACCCTCAAGTCTTGCCACCTCTGAAAGCTGCAAAAAAAACATTTATGTATTATTTTTTTACATAAATGTTACAGTGAATGTCCGAATGTCGACTTTCACAGGTGAATGTAATCCAGTTTGATATTCATTAATTCGTTGATGTTAGTATATTTATTCGATGTTTTAATATCTGCTGAGAATAGATAAGGTGAAACATTATTTTGCTTCAAAATCACATTTTATTCTTTTTATAAAACATTTTTCTTTAGTCTCTAAAACAATTTTAATTCCCTTTGAACGGAGATTTAAAGTTTTAGCGTTCTTATAGTCTTCAACTGGATGAAGGATCTACACGAACGTCCTGTGTATTAAAAAAGGAATAGTTTCATTAAAAAAAAAAAACTGTCTCCAACTGACACCACATAAAAGAGAAGAAGCCTTCGTACGGGAAAGCGCAAACTAGACAACCCAAGGTTGTGACATCCTATCCTGGTGTAATATATTAAGAGANTCTATCTGAGACAGGGGGGGCGAATGGGGGTCTATCCGAATCGGAAGGGTCGATTGTGGGTCGGAAAAAAAACAGTTCTCAATACGCAAATCACACATACCTAATTAAGTATGAGAAGTTTTTTTAAATAATTGACTCAATATCAGTTTCTTTATAAAACATAAATTAATAAACGTATATTTATTGGGGTGTAACAAGTATTTACGTAGCACCGCGCAGTGGCACGAACTCAGCGCAGTTTATAAGTCATATGCATATGTGCGCTTGTCCAAATGTCACGTGTGACGAGCATTGACGTTACAAATGCAAATATCATACGCAGTTTCAGCTATCTTTGCAAACTGTGTTGAATATTTGCAGTGTCATTATTAAAACTTTTATAGTTTTGGATAATTAGTTATTGTTTCGATAAAACCATTCGTTTGGTTTAGATATCAATTTTAATTATCAATGCACAAAAAAAGGTAAGCATTATTAATATGGATTAGTACAGACCGCGACAAAACTATAGCACACTTTGTATTTTTTTACGAAAATTACAAAATTGACCAATTTTGACGAAAATTAAAATTGACCAATTTTGAACCCAATATAGCGAACCTTTCAAGAAAACACCAGGCACACCCATCTCATTGATCAAGAAGCAGTAAATCTTTAGTTACTTTACTTATAATATCTACTTATGCATAATTACTTATTATTTAATAATAAGGTATTTAAATTTCAATATTAATATATTTTTCATAAAACTATTGTTACACAATGTACTATTACTTTAATAAATGTTTAAAATCATAAAATAAATGTACAAACACAGTATCTGATATAGTTTTATTTTAATTAACAGAAAGTTACTTTTGCAGGGGTCGATGGAGATTTCGAAAAATTACATAGGGGTCGATGATCTAAAACGTTTGGCGACCCCTGATCTACACGAACGTCCTGTGTATTAAAAAAGGAATAGTTTCATTAAAAAAAAAACAGCACTGTCTCCAACTGACACCACATAAAAGAGAAGAAGCCTTCGTACGGGAAAGCGCAAACTAGACAACCCAAGGTTGTGACATCCTATCCTGGTGTAATATATTAAGAGAAATTTGCAGACTGGGTCGATTATCTCTGGAATTACTAGACCTATTTTAATGAAATTTGATGTGTACAATACATTGATGCAACACAAAACAAATAACCATTCAACAATTGTAATACACGCACATGATCGTACGTTGGAGTCGGAAGGTATGAAACAGCGGTTGCAGAATAAACAAAATAAAATGAGTTAATAGGGTCCCCTCTTACAGATGCACAGGCCTTGCAGCGTGATTTCATACTTGAAATAAGGCAGTTAATCATTTCATGTAAGCAATTGGCCTGAATCAGGCCCGTAGCCAGGGGTGGGATTCAAACTTTTTAGTCTTTCTTTGAGCTTCTCAGTAAAAAGAAAAACAAAAACTGTCGAATCAAACCTTTTATTAACTAACTTTATTAAGCATAATTTCGGGATATTCCGGTTTGTCCTAAAAAAGTGATCGAAAAATTTTCTTCAAATCCCCGTCGCATGTCCTTGTAAACTTTGTTTGCAAATTGATTATAATTATTATGTAATATTAATTGAAAAATAATTATTATGTAATATTTCTTAATTACTAGTTTAACTTTTGCAAACAACAGAATAAACAATATTTGTTACAATGTTTTCCCCCTACTTTGCATGTCTGAAACTGTCCTTGCTTCTTACCATATCCCCCCCCCGAAAAAATATCCTGGCTACGGCCTTCGCCTGAATTGTCTTGTGGCAATTTCATACCTTCCGACTCCAACGAGTGTTGCGCACGATCATGCGTGAGTATTACAATTGTTGAATTGTTATTTGTTTTGTATTGTATCAATGTATTGTACACATCAAATTTTATTAAAATCGGTCCTGTAGTTCTAGAGATAATCGACCCAGTCTGTAAATTCTACACCGGCCTTTCACTGAACAGTTTAGGAGTCGGAAGGTTATGGCATATTTCTTATTTTACCTCCACAGAGCAGTTTATACTCGTTACAACGGACTATTCAATCCGTCCGTGCGAAGGCCTTCTCTCTCTTCTAGGAGGTGTCCACAACAACAAAAGAGGTACCTTGCACATATCAGCGAAGTAGACCTCTCGTTCGACCAGTCTGTCCACTGCCTGTTCGAAGAGCATCCACTTGAGTGGGATTTCAGTACCGAAGTAAGGCAGCAGACGAGCCATCTCCAAGATTTTCTCACGGAGTTCACCAATCATGCTGTCCACAGCCAACGTTTCAGGAGAACCAACGTAGTAAAATGTCGGACACACTAAGTGGTAGAACACTTTATCTTGTATACTCTCTTTGATCTTGTTAAACTGATGCTCAACCTATGTTGGAAAAAAAAAATTCTTTATTTTTACATATTTCCTTGAAGGGATTGTATACTGTCAGGAGAAACTTTTCATCGCAAATCTTGTTTTACCTCAACTCGAATTTTGAAATATAGATGTCCTTGTCATAGACCAAACATTAAAAATTTAATTGCGAATATTTTTTTACGCTTATAATAAACGAATGTACTTTAAACATTTTTTAAAAAAAATAATTTTATCTAAAATTTAATTATTTGCAATTTTTTTAAACTAAAAGCATTATATCGCTTTTATTTGAACAGAAAAAAAAAGCATAATTTTTTACTTAATTTTTAATAGTTTCCCGTTTTTAGAACTAAAAACTTCATATGGGGAACACTGCTACAGATAAGACATGCAACTTAACCGAATAAAGTCTCCCATAACATATGTATTGTACATTATTTTATCATTGGCACGTACTGAAAAAATTCAATATGAATGTGGTTGGTATTTTATTTACGTCGCACTGTATAGGCGACGGTCTGGGAAACATCGCTGAGGATGATCGGAAGACATGAAATATTGCAATTTTGATTCTCTGCAGAGGGGATAGCTCCCCTGCTTTGGTAGCCCGATGATCTGTGTGTGAAGTCGAGCAGTTTACGGTAGAACAGCCTAACGAGGACTCATACCACACACCCTCGATCTACGCAGACTGATCCGAGTGGTGACCCACCTGCTTACTGTCAGGAGCTAGTGATGCTTGACTTCGGTGTTCTACTGGGAAACGTGTCTTTACAATCAGTCCATTGCGGGACCTATCTGTTATTATTTATTGCGCTAAGAACGGACTTACAATGTAGTTGTCACAATTAAAGTTCCAGGATTTGTAAAAATAGTTAGGATTTCAAAAAAAGAAAACTATTTGAATACATAAACTTTGATTCCTAGAGGAAAGTTTTGAAGAGAAAGAGACGAACCGCTGAATCAAAAGTGGTTGAATCTTCTTGGACACCCACAATGAGGACGGGTGGAAAAAGAGTGCAGACGATGTCATTCACGTCCTGCTGATTCTTGTGACGCTGATCATCCTTCGGATAAGCGATGGAGACGTAGATCATTTCCAACCATATGTGTAACAGGGATAAGTAAGAGACCGCTTCAGAAAACTCGAACTGAAAAAGAAAAGATTTTGAATATATAATCATTTCTAAAATTTAGCAGACAGTTCTCACTGCATGCAAATCACGAACATCCTGTCGAAAGAGTTATGCATTTCACCAATCAGGTTCTCATTCTCCCTCGACAGTGATCAGATATGCGTGAATTATATCGCATGCAGTGAGAATGGCTGTTTTTCGACGACTCTGTCATCAAATATAAAAAATATCAACAAAAAAGTTGCGATCGCCTTGTTACTGTCACTGGTTGTTCATTGGTCAAATACTTTTTTGTTCTGGATTGACTTCGTTAAACGCCACAACATTTCAAATCATGGGTTGCATAAACTGTCTCGATGGATATTTGTCGTCCGATTGATTTTCAAATCTCGCCTACACCGACCACAGTGATGACGTAAAATATCCTCAGTGGTAGACGATTCATGGGTTAGAGTCCCCTTGCCATCAGGTTAACAGTGGGAGGTTTTCACGCTTTTCCTCTGTAAGTAACGCAAATGGGTATAATATAGCCTACGTCACAGGTTGTGTTGTTCCTACTAAATTTAACCCATGAACGGCATTTTCTGCGAGCCTAAGTTCAAGCCACAAATAAACAAACGAAGTGTTCGATCGTCTAAATAGCTGCACGCCAGATTTTATTGCATTATAAAGAAAAGTTATTGAAACTAATACAACTAAATAAACAACACCAACTAAAACAAATTACAACAACTACTAATAACAATAACTAAATAAACAACAGCTAAATTCCATTCGTTTAGCATTGCGTCATATGTTGTTCCTACTAAATCGAAGTAGTTGTGTTTTTTTCATATTATACCCAAATGTGACTTAGTTCCTTTAAAAAGTCCTCCACAAAGGTAAATTTCTCTCAATACCTGATCCAGGAGTTCCTTTATCTTCTGGATTGGGTTCAAAAATTACAAGGCCACGGAGTTGAACATTGGTAGTAATAAAACCAAAAATTGGGTCGGCTGTTCAACGACGGTTATAAAGTAAAATAAAGGCGATAGGTAAAATATTATATTTCTTGAAACAAATATGTTACGACTAATACAAATATTATGCTTAGCCAAAATAAATGCTAATTAAAAATTATTTTACAACCAATATATAATTTTATCTCGAAATTACCCTAGCTACAATTTTACTCTGGTCCCTGTTGGTCTCAAAATTGGCTCGTCCTATATGAACATGAACCGAAGGACGAATATATAGGGATGTATAGTTTTTTTGATATGGGACCTCTATTTGGAGCTAATATCGGCCTTTCTAGAACAAATATAATTTATTTTGGCTGAATAATGGATATAAAATATTGGATGAATCTGACAATTCTATACAAGGCCGGTGTTGATTGTAAAGTGACTGTAAAATATCGGATGAATCTGACAATTCTATACAAGGCAGGTGTTGATTGTAAAGGGACTGTAAAATATTGGATGAATCTGACAATTCTATACAGGGCCGGTGTTGATTGTAAAGTGACTAAAATATCGGATGAATCTGACAATTCTATACAGGGTAGGTATTGATTGTAAAGTGACTGTAAAATATTGGATGAATCTGACAATTCTATGCAACTCCGGTGTTGATTGTAAAGTGACTGTAAAATATCGGGAGAATCGAACAATTTTGTATAGGGCCAATATCGGAAAAATAATAACCCTTTGAAACCTTATTGAGCCAAGATTCGTGAATATTGGTCCAATAACGACCAAATTCATTTTGCTGCTGGGAAATTATGCTGGACGCTTAAGACTAGCCAAAACATTCATCTAGTGTCTAACGCACGCATTGCTTATTCCTTGTAAGTAACAATAAACAACAAAACTCTCGCCTTTTTGGTGCTTTCGTAATTTTTGAATGGCCACAAATTAAATATTTAGTTAACTTTTTTTTACAGACAATGTTTCGCAAATAGACGTACTTCATCGAAACAACAAGAAATTGCTCTAGCGACGAGTTGCGTCTGAGATGAATTGTTTCCACGACGAATTGAGCTCACGATGAGTTGTACTCTCGATGAGTCGTCACTCCGACGAATGCAAAATAAAGGACTGACGAGGAATTGTCTGCTCCCAAGCGACGAACTATCGCCCCCACTCATTGTGTGTAATGAATTGTCCTTCCACTTAAAGTAAGAAAAATAAACGATATCAAAATTTGGTGAAACATTATCGATGTTAATCGGAACAAATATGAAATCAAAATTCAATTTGCTTGTCAAACCGCCTTTTGTTTAAAACCTCCTGGTTTTATCTACCTAATAAATTTGTTTCTCTATGATTTTTATCTTGCCATTGCTCAGATTGAAATCATAAATGATTTGTCATATTTTAAAAACATTTATTTTAATTCCGTAGTTGTTTACATTTTGACACTAAAATAGGATATTAAGAGTGACTGAACACCCTGAAAGTAAAGCTTTTTTAGAATACGTTTTTTTTAAAAAAAAAAAAAATGAAAATAAAATATTAAAACTTACTTCAAGATTTTCTCCAATGAAGATGGGTGAATCTAAATCTTGAGACAAATCAAAGACGAATATGTAAACAGTTTGTGGCGAGAGGAACATCTGAAAATGGAATAGAACATTTTACTTGTTTTAGGCAAACTTTCTGTGGCTCAAGGAACCTCCCAATGAGGTGACCCGGATTAATATCAGTGTATTTAGCTATTGAAATGAATGCAATACCACAACTAAATTGTAAAATTGGAATGCAATAATTAACAACTAAATATTGAATTGCAGACCTAACATATGCAAGCAATTCAGAATCTGATTAATATCAGTGCATTTAGCTATGGAAATGAAGAGAATAAAGTGATTATACGTAAATTTAGCTTTTTCTTTAGCATGTAACATGATAGAGTAATCCTGGATATTGTTTTGCTCCCTTCTTGCTTTCCATGCAGATTTCTTTTATGGTTAAGATTTATAAAACAAATAGTAGTAGACACTACTTTACAAGGTGTAATTATGTCGAGTATTTATGAATTAAAAACCTGTTTTGTGTTGTTTAAATCTTTCAAAAGGCGGTTTTCTATTGAACGAATTTTCCTTACAACGAAACTTATTGTCGGAATTTAGCGACTTCGTTAAATAGAGGTCCGACTGCATTTTGCTGCTAGGGATGTACGATCAAAGTTTAAAGGAAATACTACTAACTTGATGCAGTAGAAGATTTTTAGCGTATCCTCCGTAGTCCCAGATGTTGAATGTTATGTCGGTTGATTGTTGGACTTTCTTAGTTTCACTCACTGTTTTGGGATCTGATTCTTTCAATAGCTTCTCCACTAATTCCACAATTCTCGAGGGCAATTCTTCAGGAAGGATTTCATTCATGGATTCTTTAAATGTCTAAAATAAAGGGGAATTCATATTGAACATTATTAACTTTTTCTGAAAATTTTGAACTATGATTTATTTTTAAATGGTATTTCTTATTGAGACACGTTAAATAAATTATTTAAAAAAAATTAGTTGATAGGCAGGTAGGTGCTTTATTTATGTCGCCCTAGAACAGCCCAATGGGCTATTGGCGACGGTCTGGGAAACATACCTGAGGGTGATCCGAAGACTTGCCGTCGCAATTTTGATCCTCTGCAGAGGAGATGGCTTTGGTGGCCCGACCACATGCTCGCGAAGTCGAGTACTTTACTATAGAACAGTTTAACGAGGACAGATAACGCGCACCCTCGGTCACTACGCATGCTGGTCAAAGTGATCACACACCCGCCTACTGACCGCAGCCAGTGATGCTTGACTTCGGTGATCTGCTGTTAACCGTGTCTTAACGATCAGTCCACTGCCGGACGAACTTAGTTGAAGAACATTATTATTTAAATTTGAACGTATACTAAATAAGGTCTGTTTTATGAAGGCTGCTTTGTCAAGAAGAAAAAAACAGAAACCGAAATTAGAAATCCTTAAACTTGAAAAAAAAAAAGCTTCAAACTATAAATTTGCTATCTTGCTTTAAGGTTCAGAAAATCAGGCACACATTTAAAAAAAAATTAAGTAATCATTATTCTAACTAATCTAATTTAACTAAAAATCACCATTTTCGCAAAATATATACACTAACAATAAAAACAAAAAATTAAAGTTGTTTTTCAAATCTCATTTGTCAGGGAAATTTTTTTTAAAAAAAACTATAATTTTTAATACTAATTACTTATATTCGAAGAAAAGTTTGAATTTTAAACTGTATATATATTTTGCTTAAAAGAATAATTTGGGCATAGGGGAACACACAAATAACTTATATTTCAACAACAACAAAAAAAGAAAGAAAGATGGAGCTCAAACAATGCAGCATAGGAATAGCTTTCTAAATATTAAACTATTAAGCAGCACTTAATTCGCCATAAGGACAAAGAGATCTTCGCCTAAGGCCTATCCCCCCTTAAATGTTAGAATTATTTCTTGCTTTCCTTTATAAATTGTTAATAGAATTATGACAAAAATTGAAAGAAATAATGAAAATTGAGTTAACAAAAATTTAAAGAAATATAAGCTCAAATTTACTAAAATATGATAATGTGCTTATGTTATAAACAAAACATTTTGCAAATAAACATGAGTAAATTTAGTTTAAAGTTACAACCCAAAGAAATCATTTTTTTACATAATCACTTTTTACGCAATCAGTTTTTAAGTAATCAGTTTTATGCAATCATTTTTAATTATAATTTTTAAGTAATAATTTTTTTAAGTAATCATTTTTAAGTAATCATTTTTACGTAATCATTTTTACGTAATCATTTTTACGTAATCTTTTTGTAATCATATTTTACGTAATAGTTTTATCTAAGTAATCTTTTCTCCTAAGTAATCATTAATAATTTTTTCTACGCAATCATTTTATGTAATAATTCTTTCCATGCAATCATTTTGTAATCACGTGCCTACAGTACACGAATTTCCAGATTTGGCTCTGATCTCAAATGCTTTTTATTTTTTAAAAACCTTTCTTTCACGTTACATTTAGCGCCATTTTCATAAATACCATAAGTCTCGAGGGTGGGCAAAAATAAGCACTGAAAAAAAAAAGTTCCGGCAAAAAAAAAGCACCTCGTAAGTAACGATTTGAATTTAACAACTAATTCAATTCGGGCCGATTATGTAGACGGAAATTTTTGTCCCTCGTTATTATTGGAACTATAGTTGACATTTTTAAAACTTAATTTGAAATTTATGAAAAGGAAATTTCCTCACTACAGCAAGTTGCTTAAGACTCTCAAATAATTCTAAAATTGCTTTAAATTTTAATTATTATATTAATTGTGTTACGATATCCATAATTAAGAAAATGAAGAATTTGTGCGACTGTCTCTCTCCTGTAAATCCAGTTTTATCGTTCGTGTAGTTTTATTGTTCTGAAATTTGGACTGTAGGTGTAAGGACGTAATGCCAGCCCCTGATTCCTAAAATCGTTAAAATTTTTTAAATCGAGTTGTTTGAGAAATGGAATTTAACTAAACTGCAGACGATTTTGTTTTTTCAATTATTTAAACAATGAGATAACTCATATTTGCCATCATATATATATATATATATACCTGCAAGTGGCATATAGTGTGGGTATCATTGCATGTTGAAGCATGGCATTTGTTTACGTAAGCAACTGTTGTTTCCATTCTATTTAGAATAAACCAAGCCCATCAAGTATCAACTCTCTTAAGTGACATATTCTAAATTCTTTCACAAAGATTCTTTCTCAAAGATTTCAATTCTTTCACAATATATTTGCACAGATACTTTACACTAAGACAGGCAAGAAGCCATGTGACGCATGCGTCTTATAGCATAATGTGTCACACGGCCACTAATGTGACACATAAACAAATTAATTTTGCATCGAAGTTGACAGGTGCACAAAACAAAAATATATCACGGTTACAAAAGAATAAATAAACAAATAATAAATCTAAGTAAAAGACAAGAGAGAATTATTATATAGTAAAAGACAAGTAAACAAGAGGGAATTACATTTCAACATATTCGATGTGAGATACGGCGCTGTATATGATTGACTTCACTATAATTAACATTCTAACTCATGTGGAAAGGCTTAGTTCAAATTTGATACGCAATTTTGTTCATTGACGATCAGCTGGCGCTGACGTCATGGGTCACATGCGTGGGTATGCTTGATATTCTTCAACTCGAAGAGCAAATACCCAATTGGGTGTTTTTTCCGATGCTTTCTTTTTCAAATGCTTCTTTTTTTCATGTGCATTTTTCCCCTTGCTTTTTATTCCGGGTCTTTGTTCTATGTTTTTTCTTAAGGTTATCTTTTTCCCGTTATTCTTAGCGACAGAGCAATAAAAAAAGGACAGATTTATTCTGTCAACTATCAATGGACTCAATCAAAAAGATACGCTTATGAGACATTTTGAAAATAACTAAATATGTCTTTCAATTAAGTAAGTTGAGCCTCAGGGGATAGAGATAGGGAGTTCTCCTTCCAATAAGGTTAATCGGGTTCGAATCCCAGTGATGGCTGGTGCACACGAATTCCACATCCAGCTTGCACCGACTACAGTGCTGACGAGAAATAACCTCAGTGGTAGACGGATCATGGGTTAGAGTCCCTTTGCTGTCAGGCTATTCGTGGGAGGTTCTCGCGCTCTTCCTCTCCATGTAACGCAAATGTGGGTCAATTCCGTCAAATACACCAATGTAAATTTCTCCCAATACTTTATCCGGGATTTTCCCTTGTCTTCTAGACTGGGTTCAAAATTACAAGGCTACGGAGTTGAATATTAGAAGGCGTAAACCCAAAAATTGGATCTGCTGTTCAACGACGGTTATAAACTATGTCAGTTACATTCGATTGATGCTCTTACCTGTAGAACATCTTCGGTCTTCGGCTTTGAGGATCCGATTTTCGAGAGGCTCGATTGCAAACGAAACTTCTTGTTTGCTGTCTTTTTTCTCTCTTCTTTCTTCTTCTGCAAAACCATCTCTCTCACGATATTCACGGCTATTGCTTTGAAGTATTCTTCATCTCCATACAAAACTGGAAGAAAGAGTGAATTCAAATCTAAATCCATTTCTGGAAATGTTTTGTCAGGCACGACATTAGACCTGAGACAGTACATTCCAAAGAATTAATATAAAAATACAATAGCATGTTTGATATTCTATTTACTTAAAACATTTATATTCTTTATGTAGGTTACTGTGAATCACCAAAATGGGTAGTTGTTGACAATCGCTTTGGTAAATACCCAAAATGTATACTAGGTCCAGTTGTTAAGTGTCACTGTCCGGTATACATTAACCTGGCGTGACCTAAATCGACGTTTTTTTTATAAGGTCAAGTGCCACTTCCCAATATACATTTAACCGGTACACAGACACAGATATTTCTCCTAATCGATCCTCGGCGGCCGGGATAGCCTGGTCGGTAGGGCGCTGGGCCCATATCCAAGAGGTCGTGGGTTCGATCCTCGCCCCCGAAGACTCCCCGTGTAGTAAATGGTCACTGATACACGTTAAATCTGTCGAGTCTCAAAGTCCTCCATGTTCCCACAACAAATCAATACATCTGGGGGTACTGATCCAGGAGTTTCCTTGTCTTCTGGATTGGTTCAAAATTACAAGGCTACGGAGTTGAACGTAAGTAGTCGTAAACCCATGAATTTGGGTCGGCTGTTCAACGACGGTTATAAAATAAAATAAAATCTATACTCGGCAGATATTAAAATATAGAATTAAATATAATTATACCAACGAATAAATCAATATCAAATCGGATACAACACATATTTCGGACATAAACAACGGTGCGGACTGAATGATTCTATCCTCAGTGGCCTGGGATAACCTGGTTGGTAGGGCACTGGGTTCATGTCCAACAGGTCGTGAGTTCGATCCCGGCTTGCCGAAGACTCTCCGTCTAGTAAATGGTCACTGATGCACGTGAAATCTGCTGAGTTACAAAATCTTCAAAGTTCCCATAACGAATCATACCTCTGGGGGCACTGATCTAGGAATTTCCTTGTCGTCTGGATTGGGTTCAAAATGACAAGGCTACGGAGTTGAGCGTAAGTAGTCGTAAACCCAAAAATTGGGTCTGCTCTGCGACGACGGATATAAAGTAAAATTATTTCTATCCTCAGAATATATTAAAATATCGAATGAATATAATATTATCAACGAATAAATTAATATAAAATCAGACGTAACAGATGTTTTGGACATTTACCGAAGCGACTACATATGATTTTTGATATTCACCGGTGAAAATCGACATTCTTTTGATTTCGGTAATATATATATAACTTGATGATATAACTTATATATGTATGTATAGC